CATAGATGAACCATTTGGGAAGAACACTGTTGGTCTCGTGAGTTTTGGGCAGAGAAGGTGTTGATGGTTTGGGGCTTGGTCTCGACTTTGGTTTGATTTTTGGTGAAAACTTCCTGTTGATGATGCTAGAAATTGATGGTTCTAGCATCATCCATAGTTTTCAGGTAGATGAAATGAGGGAGTCGAGGGAGGGAGAGATTTCCTTACCCAGTGACTGCTGCGTGCTTGTGATGATAGAAGGGGAAAAATGAGGCTATATCAATAGTGACAATTAGGGCACAAATCCCTAGACGGGAATTGGGCCTGATTGTTGGGCCTTTGGATTTTCCGATTGGGCTAAAAGGATTAAAATTAAATCGGGCTTATGATTGGACCATAAATGTTGAATTTTAACAATTGGGCTCAAAATTAATAATAATTGGATTTAAATAACATAAATCGAAATTGAGACTAAAATAATTATTCGAGATTGGATTCAATCGAATAGATTTGAATTCAATTTTATAACGGCTAGACGAACGTGCTTCTCTAAAAAATTGGAGTTAAAGTTTAGCGACACGTTTTTCGAGAAAACTAATTTTATATTATTTAAAAGTTCTCGGTCGCTACAAATATACATGGACTTGCCATTGGGATATAAAGAGTATGCTGGTTCTAGAGTTTAGGTGGAGAATTTAGTTTGTAAACTTCACAAGTCAATTTAGGGGCTTAAGTAAGCATCGAGACAATGGTTTACAAAGTTCTCCAGTAACCTTGTTGATCATGGCTTTAAGCAGTCCAAATCTGATTATTCATTATTTACGAAGGGAGCTGGGAGCACTTTTATTGCTCTATTGGTCTATGTCGATGACATCCTTATTGCTGGTTCTGATCAACATGAAATTAATTCCTTGAAAGGCTTCTTGCACACTCAGTTTAAGCTGAAAGACCTTGGGAAGCTGAGGTATTTTCTTGGCCTGGAGATTGCAAGATCACACAAATGAATCTTCATGTCACAAAGACAATATGTTCTGCAATTGCTTGAGGATACTGGATTACTAGCATGTAAACCGGGTGTGTTACCTATGGATCCTAAACTCAAAATTCGTTTAGATGAGGTAGATCTGCTTACAGATCCATGTACAGATGACTTATTGGTCGACTCCTTTATCTAACCATATCTAGACCTGACATTACATTTGCAGTCCACAAATTAAGCTAGTATGTTTCACAACCCAGGAAGCCACATCTTGATGCGGCTCATTACTTGTTGCGGTATATTAAAGCCAGTACAGGGCAAGGAATTTTATTCTCTGCAATTTCTTTTTTTCAATTAAAGGCTTTTGCAGATGCGGATTGGGGTGCTTGTTTGGGTACAAGAAAATCAGTTGCCGGCTTTTGTGTTTTTCTTAGGGGTTCCTTGATCTCTTGGAAAGCCAAGAAACATACCACAATATCCAGATCCTCAGCTGAGGTTGAATATCGTGCTCTAGCTGCCACTACTAGTGAGCTTATTTGGCTAATTCAGTTGCTTCATGACTTCCAGATTTTTAACAAAGATCCAGTATTTATTTTTTGTGATAATCAAGCGGCAATTCACATTGCTTCAAATCCTATTTTTCATGAACGCACTAAGCACATAGAGATCGATTGTCACTTTGTTCGAGATAAAGTGACCAATGGTTCTACCAAATTATTATCAGTTTGTTCTACTCACCAATTGGCTAATATTTTTACAAAGGCTATCCCAGGTTCTTTGCTATTTCCACTATTATCCAAGATGGGTGTTATCAGTCCTCACACTCTATCTTGAGGGAGAGTAACAGAACATAAGCTGAGCTAGGAGCTGAAAGAGCTGGGAAGCTGAGCTTGGAGCTAAGTTAAGCAGCTAACCAAAGAAGGAAGACGACAGTGGGGCTAACTATCAATTAGTTAGTTAGATTTGTTCATCATATACACGTGTGCATTTTATATTGGCTTGTAAAGTTAGTTAGTTAGTTAGTTAGAGGTAGTTAGTTTGTTAGCTGATTGTATTTTGTATTTATACCCAATCTTCTGTAATTTTTCATTGATGAGATAGTAATACAATTGAGTTCAACTTCCACTTTCATCTCTTCCATTTTTCTTTTTCTTTTCATTCACTCTTCAATATGCTGATCTGTGCAGTCAAAATAAGCTGCTAGCCACAATCTATATTCTTCCAAAACATTGGGCTGTTCTCTTTGTATTTTAGTTTTGTATTTTGAGTTTTGAATTCATTTTAGGTTTTGTGTTTTGAGTATCCATTTTAAGATTATTGAAAATGTGTTCTTTTCAGCATTTTGAAAATACTCATAACGCGTTTTGAAAATTTTGACTTAATTTAATTGAAAACACTCAAAACGAAAAAAAAAATTTAACTTGTCGTTTTGGATTTTCTTTGTAAATTTTTAACTAGTTTTCAAAAACGGGTTTTCGAAAATAGGAAAGAGAACGCGTTTTCACTATGTTGAAAAATCGAAAACAGAAAATGACTTGAAAATGGTAAAGAAAACAGGCCATTAAGTTATTAAAAGTATAATTAGCAAATAATATCTCCATCTTTCATTGTTATTGTGGAAAACATCGCTATCTTTTATTTTTTTGCATTTTCACCCTTATTTTTACCTTCTATTGCGCAAAAGATATTTTTCATCTATTTTCTCAATTAAAAATTGTGAAATGACGAATATACCCTTCTTTTTAAATAAAACAAAAAGAAAAAGAAAAAACTAATTGTAACCGTATTCCCAATTTTTTAAAAAAAATGCAAATGAGTCCCAAATAAATTATTAAAATGGTAATTAGTACATAATGTCCCTATGTTTCACCGTTATTGCGAAAAACATCCCTACCTTTACCTTTGTTTCACCGTTATTTCTAAAAACATCCCTACCTTTCTTTTCTTTCTTTTCTTCTTCTTCTTCTTTTTTTTTTTTTTTTACATTTTCACCCTTAATTACATCTTTGATTGTACAAACCATCATTTTCATCCAATTTATCAATAAAGAACTGTGAAATAATAAATATATCCTCCTATTTAAGTAAAAAATATATTTTTTTTAATTTCTAATTCTTTAATAATTTATTTCAGACTCGTTTACACTTTTTAAATTTTTTTAATTTTTAAATAAATTTAATTGGAACTCTTTTGCACGTTTTAAAAAAAAAATTTAATAATTTATTGGGGACTTGTTTGCACTTCTTAAAAAAATTGGGACTATCATTGTAATTAATTATTTAGTTTTTTTATTTAAATATGAGGGTATATTCGTCATTTCACAGCTTTTATTAAGAAATTTGATGAAAATGGATAAAAATGATGGTTTACGGAAATTAAATGTATAATTAAGGGTGAAAATGCCAAAAAAAATAAAAGTTAAGGACATTTTTTCAATAAGGCTCCGTTTGATACATCATATTTTCCATGGATTTTTTTTCTATTTTCCAACTATTCCCGGGAAAATGTTTTCCAACTTTCCAAATTTTCCACCTTTTTGAGGAAAACAATTTCTTGATATTTTGGTTGGTAAATATTTTCTAGGTTTATTTTTATTTTTATTTTTATTTTTATTTTTATTTTTTTGCAATTGGAAAAAACTATAGACACAATGGTAAAAAAATTATCACTTTTATTGACAATTTCCCTACAAAACAAAGCCAAAAGAATGGTATTCGGTATGATAATTTTTTTTCATTTTTTTTTTTTTTTTTGGCAATTGAAATCTATCAACAATGGTAAAATTTTTTTTCATTTAATGGACAATTTTCATGCAAAAAAAAAGCCAAATGAATAGTATTCGGTATGGTAATTTTTTTAATTTTTTTTTTTTT